GGCAAAAGAAGCTGCAGTCCTACAAGGTCTGTGTGCACACGCAACCTGCGGTGTTCTTTTTACCAACCTCGCGGTGCGAGTCTCTGGGCGGAGCCCGGTTGTCGAGGTGCGCTGCACCTGCCTTCTGCGATCCGCAGACAGGCCGGTGAGCAGCGAAGGCTCTTGTGGCCGGACTGTGCCGGCACTGCTGTGCTCTGCACCTGTGTGAAAAAGGGCGCAGACGGAAGGGCCACTGGCCCGTCAAAAAATTTATCCGAACACTGTTCGGAATGCGCTGGATTACGCCGCTGGCGTATCTACCATTCGCGATGGTTCCAGCGTCGGTCGTGGTCCCAGGACCAGCGACCACGGGACCACTGGTCCCGGTCCTCGTCGTCACGGCGGGACCTCTGGTCCTTGCCTTTGCCTTTGCCCTTGCCGTCTCTGCGGCGGGCCTCCCGTTCGCGGTGCTCGCGCTCACGGGCTTCGGCTGCCTCGCGCTGCAAGGTCAGCCGAAGGGACTCGGGCGGCCCCCTAGTAGGGCGGCGCTCGCCACGGTACTCGAGCTTGCCGTCTGTCCGCGGGACAGTGCCTGGGCAAGAGTAATTTTTCGCGCAGCGTGTGCAATGCATCACGCCGCACTCTGGACACTGCCAGGCCTTGCTGCGACGCTCGTGGGAAAACTGTCCCACAGCGCCACTGGCGCTTGGCTGATCGTAGGCATGCACTGCAGCCACGAAGGGGTGGAGCTCTCCGCATGCACTGCATACGAATTCCGACGACGGATCGCTCCAAATGTTCATCTGCATGTTGTCGCAGACTGAACATGCGAAGACTCGCTGAATCTCCCCCGCTCGGGGACGCTCCGCCGCTGGCGGGCGAGCTTCCTGATCGTCTCGATCAGCGTTGTCATCTGACGCCGGGCCGCTGGCCCGGGTCCCTGCGACGCCAGCTGGGTTGTTGCGCGGGGGCTGCTGACAGGGACGCGGGCGAGAGCTCTCCCCACGACGCGCCACTGGCGGTAGCGGGGCTGGTCGGGGAGCGGCGCTGCGAGGCCGGCGCTGCGGCCGACGTGGGAGGCAAGTTTGCCACCGCGCTGCGGTGGTCGTCGGAAGAAACACCACGGGCCGCCACTGGTGGCTCGGTGTTCGCAGGAACCACTGGGGGCTCGTAGCCCAGAAGAAGTCGCTGGAGGGCGACGGCATTGGCCTCTGAGCCGCCACTGGCGGGCTTGGTCCAGCCGGCGAGTTCCGCTGCCTCTGCCGCATTTACCACCACGTCCCCTATCTCTGATAGGGAGACGGCGGCTTCGTAGATGGCGGCCCTCTGGGCCTCCGGCACTGCACTGAGCGCCTGCAGCATCTGCTCGTTCGTTGGGTTCGCCATCGCTGATAGCATACAAAGGCTGTTAGCTGTGGGCACGAAGGGGGCGACTTACTAAGCTCAAAAGGCTGCGGTAGAAAAGCACTGCTTGAAAACCGACACGGTTTAAAGAGCTGACTCAGCTGAAGAGACCTACCAGGTTCGCGTGACACACGACTGAAAAAGGCGAGCGGCAAACTTTTGCCGCATTTCAAATCATGCCGTCGGCTCGCCGCTGTGGGCGAGGTTCCAAAAGCCTCGGAGACGCCCGCCCTGCAGAGGCTGCCGAACTGTCGGCGGCGAAGCAAAAAGAGGTGCACTGCACCAAAAGTGGCTGGGGCGACTCACTGAGAAGCCAGCAGCTACGCGCTGCGCTCCGAGCCTAGCGGCGGCCGCCCCTGGCGCCGCGGTTTCGGGGTCGCTGACCCCGGCTGCTGCGGTAGCAGTTGTCGCATTCGTGATGATTGTGGGGGCTCCTGCCCACTGAGCAGTGCCGCCCACAAATCGCCATACCTTGGGAAATGCAGCCCTGCTGCGCGCAGGGCATGCAGCACATGAGGTCGCCTCGCCTCTCCGGGTACCTATCCCATCTCTCTGAGTTGGGTTGTGCCCAATAGGGCCATTCGTGCACGTCTGTGACGTGCAACTGCGGAGAAACCCTCCTGGCGTGCGTTACTAACGCACGGAGGCCAGGGTACCTGTTGTCGGTCGCTGACCCCAGGTTGCGCCAATCGTTATTTTGGGGGTCCTCCCCGGGCTGGAACTGCCAGCCTCGCTGGCGATTGCGACGCTGCGGTCGGGACACGACCACAGTGTTCGCGTTGGGCGCAAACGGCACTGCCGTTGCGGCCTGGCTGCTAGCCAGGGATACCTCGGAGTCTCCCGAGTTCTGATCACTGTCAGTATCGATAACTTCAATGGCAGGCTCCGCCTCTGGCGGAGCGACGTCGGCAGCTTCGGCTGCGGGCGGGCTGCCTGTTGTAGCCGCAGCGGGCTTAGCAGGAGCGGCCGCTGGCGGCGGTAAGGGAGGGTCCGAGGCCGATGCCGACGCTGTCGGCAGAGCGGTGCTGGACGAGGCGGTAGGGTCGGTGCTGCCGCTGGCAACTTTGTGAGACTTCTTCTTTTTCTTTTCCGTCTAGGGCGTCCACCCAATTAAGTCTCCACTGGAGTTTGGGCACATTATCCTCCTCCCCACTGGGGGGCCAGTCAAAAAGGCCGGTATACGGCCAGCCAGGTGTGGCCGCTGGCCGCATAGGCACGTCGCGCTGCGACATCGTATACCGGTGCATCGGATAGGCACTGCCTGAGGTGTCCGGTTGTTCCCCTTGCATCTGCGCGAAAGGGTAAAAGGGAGGCCAAACTTTGGACTCCCCTTCCCCTGCGCGGTTCAGAGATTCATGGTCGTCGCTGACGACCGCGGGGTCTACCCGCATGGCACAGCTAATGGCCCAAAGGAGATAACTTATCTCCTGTTGTGCCATCTCTTCACGCATGGCCTGCTCTAGCACGAAAATTGGATTGCACTGCAAAAAACGGAGACAGGAGCGACACTGTCGCACGCGTTGCAGGCATTGTGGCGCTGCCAACTGATTCTCTCGACCGTCCCTTCTAGGGTACGGCGCCTCTGGCGACTCAGCCGCGTAATTGCGGGCTGCTTGGTCAACCATAACTGCCACTGACAGTTATAAAAAGAGGAGTGGAAGGACGTCGCTGACGACCCCCACTGCTGCGGAGCACTACAAGCTACTCTACAAAAACTTTTTGGATCACAGATCCAACTCCAAGCCGAAAGCTGCACGGCAAAGTTTGTCTAGTGTCACTCACACACAAGTGAAAACACTGTTTTCCTTTTTCGACAAACTTTGTCTACACTTTCGGCGGAAAATAAAACCCATTCACGCACGCATGATGGATGCACGTTCGGAATCATCGTGAACATTTATGAAAGGTTTGGTGACACGTTCGGCCTCATCTTGGCCGACAGGCTTGGGGTGTTGCCCTGACACACGGAATTCACATGCAGGATTAGGGCTGCGGGATCGCAGCCTGGGCCCCTCAGAAGAGGGTGCAACACTGGTAGGAGCTAGTCACTCCTTTGGGGAAGACGAATCACTCTTGTCGCCCTTTCCCTTGCCTTTCTTGCCTTTGCCTTTGCCTGCGTGGGCAAACCAGCAAGCAGAATGCCCATGGCCTAAGCGCCTGCACGTCATGCAACCGTGAACACCACGGCTGCAAGCAGGCGGACTGCCCTTGCACTCGGCATTGCACTTCCCGAGATTGAACTGCCAACAGAACCGGTGGCCTGAAGAATCAGCATGGTACGGGCATGACTTCAACTCCTCAGGCAGATTTGCAGTTTTGATAGGGGCCTTGAGCTTAGCATCTCTCTTCTTTTGGCATTTGCTGGGCCTCAGATCAGGAAAGGATGATCCGACCTCACCTGCGAGACTCGGCGAAGCGACTCCCTGAGAGGCTGATCCACGCTGAAGTGGCTGGAGATAGGTGGTGATCCGAGGGTCATGACGGAACCGATTCATAAGAACATCCATCTCCATCACACCACTGCTGTCAGGTTTGACACGCTTGACCTCACGGGCTAAAAGCAAGAAGATTTCGGAATCTGCACGCAAAATTTGCTGCATCGAAATGGGCGCGTATCCCGGAGGAACATCCGAGGACAAACATCTCAGCAGAGACGCGACCCACTTCTCGTGAGTCTCCCACTCCATGAAGCCGCACATGAAGAAAGCCAAGCCTCGGCGCTGGAGACACCATTGGACCTCCAAGGGAGTCCCATGCTCAGCGACGATTTTATCTGGAGCCGGGGCCAAGGTGACTGATTGCTCCTGAACAGTCAAGTACTGTTGCTTGTCGCGAAGCCCTAGCTTGAGTTCGGCATCCCTCTTAGTGCACTTCGACGGTGGGATCCAAACCACCGCATTCGACTCGCCCATGTGGGAAACTGCGTCAATGAGGGCATGACTTGGCTCCATCTCATCCTCGATGACAAGGCCTTTCAAACGCTTCTTGGCATCCGCAAGTCGGGCGGATTTCTCCGCTGCCGGAAGTCTCTTTCCAGCTTCTGTTGAATCCCCTTCTACGAGTGCGCGCAACTGGGCAATGACCAAAGTCGAGGATTCGAAATGGAGTCTTTTGAGCTGGCTCACGCGGCCTATGGACGCTGGGCTCCCGACAACGGAATCAGCAAAGGCCTTAAATTCTGCTTCCGTGGGTTGGGCCTTCGGAGTTCCACAACTGAAGGCCAAGGCTGAGTGAGTTCGCACCCCCGAGGCTTGCAGCAATGTGTGAAGGGAATCGTCGCCACATATCTCCTTACACCTAGCTGCAAAAGCAGCCTCGCTGTCAACGAGGGTCATGGCAACTCACAGCACTATGGGCCTGACCGTCCTACTGAACTGAGACAAAGCTGCTGCAACCCAACTCTCAGCGTGTGATCCATCAAGCAAACTCACATGTTGAGAGAGAAGGATCAAGAACAGAGGAGAGAGAAGAGAGAGAGGGAAGAAGTGAGCAGAAGGGACGAGTTGCGGCACATCGAGGGGCTGCTGCCTGTCCTGATGATTTTGGCTCACGACTCGACATGGAAACCCTCTACCATGACACGCACTCACTCACTCTTTCCACTCTCTCAGCAAAACTCAGTCGCGCCCAGGGTTAGCTAGGGATCTCTTGCACTGCTTGCACACTGGGGTATCATACCTCAGCCGGCCAGGCTCGATGAAGGGGCTGTCGCCAGTTTGCAACGGTCTTCCGCACAGCGTGAAGCTGCGGTCCCCGGTCAACAACAAATGCAGAGTTTTGAGCTTGCGATGCTGCATGAAGAAGGTACCTTCAGGAGGCGAAGGCGGGGGCATCAGCCTGGGCTCCGGATTTTCTCCCTCAGAAGAATCAGACGACTCGGATGAGGAGCCTTCCGACGACGTGTCTCCGTCAGAGGAGACACCGTCATCGGGATTGACTTCGGAGATGTCTTCCGGAACTATCTCAAAAGATCCCTGCGGCGCTCGATCAGGCTTAAAGCTCAGGTCGCCAACACCCTCAGAAAAATCGGGACTCGGAGGTTCTGTTCCGTCCGATTTGACACTCATGACTTCACCTCCCGCATGGGAAGTGCACGCCTCCGACTTCTCAGCCCTCGATGCATGTGACGGTGCCCCCAAGGAGACTAGATCCCACTGAGAGAAGCTTTCAAGACCCCTAGCGCTGCAGTCGCGATTGCTGCTGCCAAGATGGACTTCACCCAGCGGCTGAGGTTCAGTGGGAGCAGCATGGGCGACACCTGTGGGCAGCTCGGCCCCTATCAATTCCTCATTGGTGCGCCCAGGAAAACGAGCAGCCCTGCCAGCATCTGGTGCAAACCTTCCTAGCCTGATTTCAGACAGCATGCCCGCCAGAAGTCGCAATGGGCGTGCTAAGGCATCCCGCGCATATACATCAGCCATGTGAGCCCCATGGAAATGCCCGCCTAAGGCCAGCCGGTCAGTGTGAGCTAACCCTCTCTTAGCTGCAAAAGACAACAGAGTGGCTTTCAAGCTGTGGGAGGTGGTGCGCCGGCCTTCACGCCCAGGCAATAGCTCTCGGAGCCACGCACCTGCTTCGTCAGATCCCAAAGCCCTGACCGTCGGGGCGCCAGATTTGTCGGGGGCGGGCATGCTTGGGTACCCTTTGTTGCACTCGACGCCTAAAGCCTTTCGAACCTCCATGAACACACAGAGCCAATCTTTGCCATCGAGGCCACGGCCTACCGCAACTAGCTCGAGACACTTCGGAAGTTTTGAGGAGAAGTTCATTGTCTTATGCACATCGATGAAAGCTGAGCCGAACTCTGCAAAGCCCTGGTCGTTGCACTCCAGAGAGAGCGAGTCAACATGTTGGAAGTCGCTCCATCGACACCTGGCGTAGATGCAGTAGAGGGACACTCCACACATGAGACGATCCCAGAGATCATCCCCTTCGTAAAGGATTCGATGCATCTCAAGTATTTCTTCAACTGTGAAAGGGTCTGCCTTAGAGGCAAGAGTGGTTTGCTTGGCTGAGGACAGGCCCCAACACCTCTTGCTCTTGACACTGGCATGCAAAGTCGAAATGTCAAATGTAAAGTGCACGAAAGTGATCGCCTCCATGATGCCTCGCAAAGCTGACAAGGATGCACCACCGGTTTTGCAATCTCTCAAAAATCGAGTAAAGAGAAGGCTCCTGCATGGGCATTGTTAGGCCTTCGGAAGCTACAGACTTGCCCAACATCAACATGCTATTTGCACGCTTGAGACATGTACTGGGAGCTTTGCGGGCCAAATAATCTCCCAGGAGGTCATGACAGTCCGTAGCGCCAGGAATGTTGCCAGACGGCCGGCTCCATCACGACAGGATGAGGGTCCTCAGGCCGGCCAGCCTGAAGTGCCTGTTGACAGGCCCCAAATGCAGCCCCCGGCTGACATGATCTTGGAGCTCCAAGGCTCGTGGTCTCTTCGGCTGCTGCCGGGGGCGTCCTTGCGCATTTATACAGATGCAATGGCAACGCCAGGTACTGTGTCAGTGGGAAGTGGCTCAGTTCGGCTGGAGACTCAGCAGCCCCAGGCGGAAAGGAATAGCCCCCCGACGGGGCGCCGAAGCATGGCCTCGGGCGCTCCCAACCCCCTATAACGCGGCTGACATACGTCGCCCGCCTATTGGAGTCTCACTATATGCTGCCAGGTACTCACCACGAGCTGACTATGCTTGTAATGTGACGCCTGTCACCGCCCGGCCTCCCATTGCGAGGGCGTCTCCAGCTGTCCTGGCTGCTCAGGATTTTTTCGCCTGCGGCCAGCGCTTGCTTGTGGCTGGCGCGCGTCGCCGGACTCATAGCCTCTGTGCGTGCAGCATCTCTCTCGCTAAGCTTATGCGCCTTCTCACTGTTGGAAATTTTTGCAGGTACTTGTGGCGAGGATCCCTCAGCCTGTTTGGTGAGAGGATTGTGTGAGGTCCAATACATTGTCAACGTTGGCTGAGGTGGACGGGAATCAACATCGCTGGCAACCTTATCTGGTGCCATAGGGCAATGTGGCGAGGATTCCTCAGCCTTGCGCGCATCACACCTCAGGGTTGCGGCTTCGGCGGGCAGTTGATGTTGTTGCCACCGCTGCGATGGAGTCAGGAGCTGACTGCGTTTGCGAGGCATAGGCTTACTCGTCTTGGTATTTGTGTCATCGTGCGCCCTAGTAGACCTCTGACGTTTGCAAGATGCAACTTTGTTGATGTTGTCAGCCTCCAGCAGTACTGACCCGAGTGTCGTTGGCTGACGGTCTTTGGACGAGGATTCCTCAGTCGTGGATCGCAGTTGTGGCGGAGTGCCGATTGATCCTCCTTGCTCCTTCTGAGCTGTATTGTCTTCAGTCGTCATCCCCTGCCGAGGGCCGCGCCACCTCTCCATTGCCACGTCATCGGACTCAGGTCGAGCACCACTGCCTGCAGCGTGTGGTGGCGCAAACCCGCCGTCAACAAGAGTGGATTGTCCCGGACTGCACACGTCTACCAGAGGTCCGCCCCTCACATGCGCTGTCATGTATGGGTTGATTCCGCTCTCCAAGGATTCAGGGCTCATCACATCGTTGCACGGCGCAACCGCTTGCACTAAATGCCCTGTTGCATCCAAGTCTAGACCCTCAGCGACTGGCTCATCAATGCCTTCACTCAGTAGATCGTTCGAAGAAGAAGGCACTAACCAGATGCCATAGAGTGCGTCCGAGTACCAGCTGTGATACCGTCCTAGACTTGGTGGCTGGTCATCGTTTTTCAACCAAACATAAGGCGACCCCAACTCAAACAGCAATGTGGTGTAATGTCCCGTCTCACGGGTTTGACCGTGTCGCAGCAGGACCGCAGTAATGCGATACTTATGCCAGCGCATAACCGGGGGATCCGCAGTGCTAAGCATGTCAATTTGCGGAATGAGCACAAAGGGGTGGTTTGGATCGACGATTACATTGGCATGTTGGTCGTGACAAGTGTCCCTCAGAAGCATGAACAGTCCCCGGTCTGCTTGAAGAAGCGCCTGATAGGAATCGGAGCCGAATGTCCAGGCTTGAACATGTTCCTGCAGGCTACCCGGGCGCTTTTCTAGAAGCGGGGGGATTAGAATGGACCCTTGTTGCAGCGTCTTCACTCCGGTGCTCTTCGACAACATGATCCAGACGGAGGGTTGGTGCTTTTCGCTCAGATGTGTGCGCAACCAGTCGTAAAACTCTCCAGCATCCTGCTGGAGTCCCCAGCCCCGCCATTCACTCATATGATCCCGTACAGGTTGCCATTCAAGGACATGAGTGAATAATCCCCAGTCACACCGCATGTCTGCGGTATGTCCCCGCGAGGATGCCTCAAGCAAGGAGTGAATGGACCACAAGTGGCCATTCACGATGGCATTTGCGTAGCACATATTGGCGTTGTTCACCAACCTTAGGTCGATGATTGATCTGCCAGGGTGGCTGCCTGCCTCATTGTTTGGAGTACCAGTCCACCTGGACGAGGAGTCGCCGGGCGCATTCTGGTCATCGTTGCGTGACTCCGTTTCTGCAAAGCTTGGTCAGCACCTCCATTAATCGGAACGATTGAGGATGTCGCAAGCTTAGCTCGAGGCGCCACGGCACGACCAGCGCAGGATCCTTCTCCGGTGTCTGTACGAACTTGAGTGCCTTGAATGCCGTGAATCGTCTCAACATGCCCTCCAGCTGAAGTAACTGCTGGGCTTCCCTTAGGTGCTTTTCCGCATCCGTCATCGACAGACCGTCTGTCTGCGACACAATCTGCTTTTGCTCCTTCGGTGACCATTGCAGATACGCCCAGTTTAGCTCGGAGTCGAGAATCCCCAATCCTTGTAGGACTTGCTGTCGTGCCAGATCGGTCTTGACTTTGACCACTCTGTCTATGATGGTGTCCATGAGCGTCTGGACCATGATGCATTTGAGGGGCTTCTGGGCCCCTTCCTCGGACCCCACCTTGGAGTGCCAGTCCTCTGATGTCACGACCATCTGAGGCAGCGGTGAGCCCTGCCCTCCAGTGACGAAGAGCATAAACTCCCTGTCGACTGCAAGACTCTGGATCGAGGCCTCGTGTCTCAGCAAGATTGTTGCAAAGTTCTTCAGCACCTGGTGCATGTCCGGCTTGATCTCCATCCCGTTGTGATTGATGCCTGTGACACCGGAGGGGCGGGATGGTGTCTGAGTCTTGCCTGTGTTCTTGCCCTTTCCCTTGCCCTTGCCACTGTTGTGCTCCGGTTCTTGTCGTTGACGCTTGCTTTTCGGCCCCGCTCCTGTCATGTTAAAGAACGGGCTTCACTAAGGGTTCCTACCCACAAAGACTGTCGGACACTTTTGTTCCTGGGCACGGTGTGTCCTGGGGTCTCGAGCCTGCACGTCGCGTGTGCGTGACGGCTGTTCCTGTACATTAACTGTACTGCACTAGCTGTGTTACTGTTCCTGGCAGAATGTTTAACACCCCGCCTTCGGAGTTAGCGAAAGTTCCTCGACTGAGGTGACTCCGACTTTTCCTTGACAAACAGTAAACACGATGCAGTTCCTTTTCACTTGCAAAACAAACACTGTTCCTCATCGCAAACGTATGCGCACGTTCACTCGCAATCCTCTCCAAGGTTGCTCGACTGTACAAAAGACGTTCCTGCACTTTACCTAGATCACCACAGAAACAAAAAGGGCTGTGCCACGGTTCCTGTGTCCTGCTGCTTCTTTCCTCGGCTCTCTGGCCTCAGTACTGCTCGCGGTTCCTTTGCTTCACTGGAAGGTTACTTTGCCTTCCTCTTCGCTGTCTTTAGCTTCCTCTTGGTCGTGAAGCTGTTCCTTTAGCCACTCTTCTTTCATCTTTGCTTGTGCTTTGCACTTTTCTTTTCCTTGCTTGTCCTTTGACGCTGCTTTCCAACCTGTTTCCTTTGATCCTGAATACCAGTACCACTGTGTCTTGGCTTCGTTCCACTTCCACTGGTATTTCCTGTTCTGGAAACTGTAGACTGCAAACCAGTTTCCTTCAAACTCGCCTTTTCCTTTTCCTTTCATGAACGATGCTTCGTTCACTGGTCCTTTGGCGGACAGTTCTGGGTCGTCCTTGTCTTCTTCCTTCTGCTTGTGCTGTGTGACGTTCGGTGGCTCCTTTCCTGTTGCTTTTCCTGTTCCTTTTGCTTCTGGCTTCTCTTCTTCCTTTGCTGGTGTTGTGTCAGGTTCTGTGGGTGCCTGCGACCCGGCTGCCGATCCTCTGCTCTCAAGCTCCTGTGTAAGGCTTGCAATCCTTTCTTTATCCTCTTTGCGTTCCTTCATCATCTCCTTCATCATTTCTTCAAGCTTCTGGATCCTGTCTGCTTCACCTGATCCTGTTGCTGTTGTTGCTGCTGCCTTCTTTTCTGCTTCCTTCTTGGCAATGTACGCTGACGCTGCCTTTTGATCTTCCTCTCTTTTCTTCCTGGCTTCCTTCTCCTTTCTTTTCTTCTCCTGCTCCTTTCTTTCCTTCTCCTCTTTGGCTGCTGCGGCTGCTGCTTTCTCCTCTGCCTCCTTTGCTGCTGCTGCTTCGGTCTCCTCCTTTTCCTTTGCTTCTCTCTCTGCTTTGGCTTTGGCTGCTGCTTCTACCTCTCGCCTTCTCTCGGCGGCTGCGGCTGCTTCCTGCCTTGCTGCTTCCTTGTCTCTCTTCTCCTGTTCTTCTGCTGCCGCTTCCAGAATCAACCTTGCTTTGGCAATCTGCTCCTCTTTTGCCTTCTTCTCCTCTTCTGCTTTTGCTTTTGCTTCTCTTTGTTCCTTTGAGATCCTGTCCTGTTCTGCCCAGTATTTGCGATCATCTTCATCTCGAGGTCGAAATCCTGTGCTTTCTGCTCTTGCCTTTGGCTTTCCTTTTCCTTTTCCTTCCTTCTTTCCTTTTGTTCCCTTCTCGTGCTTGTACGTGTAGTCCTTGTCGACCCACTGCTTTTCTCCTGTAACTCTGTGTTGCCTGTAGATCTCGCCGTTCTCGGAGTATTCCTTCCATTCGCTGGCGTAGTCGTAGGGGTACGGAAAGAGCTTCTTCTCTTCTTCCTTTTCCTTGAGCCTTTGCTTGCTTTTGGCGTTGATCTCCGCGATCTTCTTCTTTCTTCTCTCTTCCTTTGCTTCCT